CCCAGGGACTGGCGGGCCCTCCGGTCCTGCTGCCCTTCCTGCTGTCCTAAAGTCACCCCAGCCCCCGGCAGCGGGAAGGGAAGCGCAGGTGGGGCAGAGCCAGGGAGTGTGGGGGCGTGAGGGCAGTCCCGGGGGGGGGCCAGGCCAGCCCCAGGCAGACTCCAGGTGGCAGCCTGGGGAGGCCTGTGCCTGCCGCTGCCCATGTACACACACAGCCATGCGCAGCACATGCAGTCACATACATGTGCACACCCACACGTGCGGACACATGGATACACGTGCATAGAGACACGCATGACCCAGCCTGGGCGGGGCACACACGCAAGCCGCCCCTGGTGCTCCTGCTTCTCTGTTCCTTTTCCTCTGACGGGGTTTCTTCCTGAATTCCGGCAGCCCCACCCCGGAAAGGCATTTCCAGAATCTGCTTCACACACATGCTGGGCGTGAGGCTGGTGCCGTGTGACCTGTTTATCCGTGACTAAGTCCCATTCACCCGGCACGGTGTGACCTTCCCTCCCGCTGGGCGCGGTGTCCGGGCCGCCTCACTGCCTCGGAGCTGGGGGACCGGAAAGGGGACCCCCCAGGCAAAGCTAGAACGTGTGAGACCCCGAGTGAGTCCGGCCTTGCTTCCCCACGATCCCCAGCACCTCACAGGGAAAACCTAAAGCTCAGCCCCAGCGCTGGGGTAGACCCTGGAGGGCCCCAAAGCAAAAAGGGCCCTGGGGCTGCCCACCTGACCTGTCCTCTGCCCGCGTGCCGCGGCCCGTCACCCTCTTGGCTCTCTGTAAGCCCCCTGGCCCTCTCGAGCGCCCAAGCTGGGAGGTTCCAAGGTCGGGCCAGTCTCTTTCAGTCAGCTGGGCCAGGCGGGGTGGGCACTGCCTAGGGTCACACCAGCCCTCCTCAGGACAGAAACTAGGAGGGAGGGTGAGCTTGTGGAGTGAGGGGGCCTTTGGGAGTGAGCAGGAATGTGCGGGAATGTGCGGGATCCGATCCTGCTTTTATTCGGCCCAAGACCCGTGTGAGTGTGGTCAGTCTCATAGTGCGGTCAGTCTCCTTGCACGGTCAGTCTCCTAGTGTGGTCAGTCTCCTAATGCGGTCAGTCTCCTTGCACGGTCAGTCTCCTAGTGCAGTCAGTCTCCTAGTGTGGTCAGTCTCCTGAGTGTGGTCAGTCTCCTTGCATGGTCAGTCTCCTGAGTGCGGTCAGTCTCCTGAGTGCCGTCAGTCACCTAGTGTGGTCAGTCTCCTAGTGTGGTCAGTCTCCTGAGTGCAGTCAGTCTCCTTGCATGGTCAGTGTCCTGTGCGTAGTCAGTCTCCTTGCATGGTCAGTCTCCTGAGTGCGGTCAGTCTCCTGAGTGCGGTCAGTCACCTAGTGCAGTCAGTCTCCTAGTGTGGTCAGTCTCTTGAGTGTGGTCAGTGTCCTTGCACAGTCAGTGTCCTGTGCGTTCAGTCTCCTAATGCGGTCAGTCTCCTTGCACGGTCAATCTCCTTGAGCGGTCAGTCTCCTAGTGCGGTCATTCTCCTGAGAGCAGTCAGTCTCCTAGTGTGGTCATTCTCCTAGTGTGGTCAGTCTCCTGAGTGCAGTCAGTCTCCTTGCATGGTCAGTGTCCTGTGTGTAGTCAGTCTCCTAGTGCGGTCAGTCTCCTGAGAGCAGTCAGTCTCCTGAGTGCGGTCAGTCTCCTAGTGTGGTCAGTCTCCTAGTGCGGTCAGTCTCCTGAGTGCGGTCAGTCTCCTAGTGCGGTCAGTCTCTTAGTGTGGTCAGTCTCCTGTGCGTGGTCAGTCTCCTTGCAGAGTCAGTGTCCTGTGCGTGGGCAGTCTCACGCACAGTCAGTCTCGTGCATAGCCCTCCAGTCCTGCAGACAGGGCTTTCCTGGCAGTGTTGTCACTGCAGATAAGCAGGTGCCGGGAGGGAGGAAGGGAACCCGCTTGGAGGTGGCTGGGGTTCCCCCTCGGCTCCTGCTTCTCCTTCCTGTTCGGGCCTGGGCCTTTCCCAGGACCCGCTGCCCAGCCGGTGCCCGGGTCAGGTGCCAGTCCTCAGGAAGGGAGCTGGCCCGCTCCCCTTGTTGTGAAGGAGAAACAAACCTGTTTGGTGACTCGTTTGAATGCCAACAAGCCTTTCCCAGGCAGTGCCTGACCTCCCATCCCGGCAGGCACCGGGGCTGGGGGAGAGGGCGGCTGCAACACGCGTGCAGAGACCCTCCCCGTGCGGGTGTCCGGGACGGGGGCGTCCACACCTACATGCGGCACAGAAGCTCCTTGTTCTCCGCTTCTCTGGGTGCTCCTGAATAAACATGTAGTGCTGGTGGCTGCGGTCAGCGGGTGGCGGTGTCCACGGGGCCTGAGCTGGGCTCAGCAGGACATGGCTGGTGGGGGAGGGGGGAACCACCAGGGCCCTCCCCCACCCCGGGCTGGGCAGACTCGGGTCCCACGCATACCGAGCTTCCTCCGGGCCCCACTTCTGAGGTTCTCAAGATAAAAACGGCCAAACCCAGGGTCCGCAGCCGGAAGCCTCGTTCCCAGCTCCACCCGCTTTTCATGGCAGCGGCTTCAGGGGGACAACGGATGCAGTGGGAAATGTGAGGGACATCTGACAGCTGCCAGGCCCTGCCCTGAGGGTGCCGGACCCTACCACCCCCAACACAGGGCAGCTTCCCTGCTGGGTTTCCCAAAAAGAGCACTGAGCAGGGAGGCACAGCAGAGGCAGGTGGATTGTGGGCGCTGTGGCTTCTGTGTGCATGCCGGACAGTGGATTTGGGGCTGGGGGGGACACCTCGCCCTCCATCTCTGAGCAGCATGATTGGGTCTGACCACTGTCTACTCCCCCTCCCCCGGCTTTCAGTATGTGAGAGAAATTCATCTGCAGTGCAGAGGCAGCGGACACGCCTATTCAGGCACCTGGTTGTGTCAGGGACCCCTGCAGGGGCACTCAGGGACCCTGCTCTGTCACAGTGACCCAGTGCTCCCGGGTTCTCTCTGTTAGCAGCCGCAGTCTGGACAGAGCGGAGAGCTCCAAGGAGGGGGTGGAGTCTGGCGTACAGGAAATGACCTGGATATAACTGTGAGCCTAACTAGGAATAAGTAGGTGGAAGAACGTGGAACCAGATAGAAGGGTTGAATCATTTTCAAGAAAATACTTGAGCATGAGTACATAATGCCAACACAAGGCCAGTTTTCCTGGAGATAAAACTAAATTTATTTTTCTCAGGGGGGAGTAGAGAATAAATATACAGACAAGTTCATCTGACTCATCAGAAGCCCAGGGTGAGACGAAAGGAGGAAACCTCCCCTAGGACAGTGAGCAGGGGCCGCCAGACCCCCGAGTCAGCACCGCCGGCATCTCCCTCTGCTACAGGGACAAGCCCTCAAGACCCTTTTAGCACAGCCAACACAAACAGCAGCGAGAAGACCAAGACGGTTTGCAAAGCCGGTAGAAACCAAAGTACCTATTTACACGAAGACCATGGAGCAGCGAGGTCAGGGCTGGGTGTGTGCACACACGCACACATACACACACACAGTCACACTCACAGAGACATACTCTCATAGACATAGACACACACATAGTCACATACGTGGAAACACACACATACACCCAGACACACACAGTCACACCCAGAGACACACACTCACATAGACACAGACACACACATACAGTCACACACATGAAAACACACACATACACCCAGACACAGACACACACACAGTCACACTCACTCAGAGACACAGATACACACATACAGTCACACACATGGAAACACACACATACACCCAGACACAGACACACACAGTCGCTCAGAGACACACAGTCACATAGACACAGACACACACATACAGTCACACACACAGAAACACACATACTCAGACACAGACACACACAGAGTCACATAGGCACTGACACACACATATAGTTACACACATGGAAACACACACATATACCCAGACACAGACATACATACACAGAGACGCACATACACACAACAAACACACACACAGAGTGGAGTTAAGGCAGATGTTGTGACAGCAGGAGGCCCCTTTGCGACATGTCTCAGAACTGGATCTCCATGATGCTGGCCAGGAAGAGCGTGGCCCGACAGCCACAGAAGGGCGGGGCTGCCCCTGTGATTGGCCCAGCTCTCTGCAGACGCTTTCAACTCCAGCTCTGAACAGTCAGAGAATGAAGCACATGGCCCGGGAGGACACAGCCCTTCCAGCACTCCAGGACTCGATGCCGCCCGCTCCCCTTCCAGAGACCCAGGTCTGATCCCCCAGAACCGCTGGGGTAGCCCTCACCCACCCCAGGTGTGCTCCTGAGAAAGGGACAGGAACTGCCAATTTGGAAGACGACGTTTAATTGCAGAACGCCGTGGGCAGGAGTGCTTTGGGTCATGGAACAGTGACAGTGACAGGCTGTGTCCTTCGGTGCCTTCCAGGAGGGGCCCCCGACTCTGGACCTGCCCAGCAGAGGCTGGGAAGAGACGCCATCCTGTGATGACGTGACGGGGTTTCCAGAAGTCCGTGACGCTGCATCCTGGCAAGTGTGGAGCACGGCTGCAGACACTCAGTGCGGCACAGTCGCCAGCATCTGACGAGCCCGGCTCTCTCCAAAACACCCCCTCCCCAGCTCTGCCTTCCTGGCCCATTACAGAAAAAAAAAAAACACAAAAACGGGCAGACCAAATCCTGCATCGAGAACATCTAGACAGGCCTTCCCAGGGTCGCACGCCTGCCGTGGCCCTTCAGAGACTGAGCCAGGGGCGGCCACAGCCGCTGTGTGTTTCCTACAGGAAAGTGCTTTCTTGCCGACGGGGCGGGACCCACAGGCAAATGGGGAAACAGCCCCGAGCCCAAGAGGGAGGACAGCCAGCATACACCTCCCCTCCAGAGGCCCGACAAAGCAGGTGGCAGTGAAGACAAGTCCCAGAGTACCCGGGGCTCCGGCCCCCAGGCTGGCGCTGGGAGGATTCTTGGGGCCGTCCTCCCTCAGTCTCTGCGGTCCATCCTCCCTACAGGTGCTCCTTCAGCAGCCCCAGCTTCCGCAGCGCCTCCCTCCGGGCCTCCTCCGTGGAGCCGCGACCCGAGAACTGCACAGTGACGCCCTGGGGTCTGAAGCCCACCGCCCGGGGCAGTGAGCCCGAGCGTGGCCGGGCCATGTCCTGGCCTGGTTCAGGCAGCCGCGGCTCGTACACGCTCTTGCTGGCCTGGTGCCGGGCCAGCCTGTTGCTGGCGGCTGGCTCGGGCCGGAAAGTAACCGTCTTGCCTGTGGGGATGAAGGGCGTGGGCTGGCTCGTGAGGGCCTCGTGGAGGCTCTGGAAGCCATTGGCCCAGGCAGGGGGCCTGTCCGTCTGCACCCCCCGGGACTGCTGCCGGCCGGCGGCCTCCTGGCCAGGCCCCGGCCGCCCCGCCAGGTCACTGGGGACGGCCCGGTCTCCCAGCTCCCCCGTGGCGGGGAAGGCCACCCCGTTGATGTTGGCCAGGACGCGTGCCTTGCGCTCCTGCACGCTGACCGCTGCCTTGGATATGGTCTGGCTGAAGTCGCGGCCGGCGCTGTTGGTGAGGCTGATGTTACTGGGGAAGCGGTGCAGCTTGGGCCGGGGCCCTGCGGGAGGCTCACCCGGGCACGGCAGGGTCCTCCTGCCCTCCTTCCAGGGGGACGTGGGCGAAAGGGCTTCGTCTCCGGCCAGCTTCTCGGAAATCTTCTGGGCGATGATCAATGGGGTGGGCACAGAGCGGGGCAGTTTGGGGTGTTCTGCGGGCGGAGACGGGGACAGCGGCTCCCTCCGGGGCCGGCCGGGGGCTGCAGCAATGGGTGAAGTCGGAGGCGGGGTCTCCGGGCCGGGAGCATCTGTCAGGGTCACCTCGGGAGAGCCCTGTCCCCCAGTGTTGGGGAGGGCCGCGTCTTCCTTTCCGGCAAGTGGGGTCCCTGGGAGGGAGAAGAAGCCTGAGAAGCTGCCGGAAGGCATCACCCGCAAAGACAGGCCCGTCCCCAGCACCTTTGGGAGTGGCCCCAAGCACGTCCGGTATGGCCCCAACCCCCAGCAGAAAGAAAACACACCGTGATTCCCTTCCCCCAGGGGTTAGGAGGGTTTGAGGACCCATTAGACCCTTGTAGCCTGGGCTAGAGAACATTCTAAGGCGTGGTGTCTGTGTAAGGAATTCTGCGAGGCCCTCGGAAGGGGTCCCCAGAAAGGGTGCTGCTGGGCAGGAAGTCAGTTTCTGCTGAGCGGGGAAACTGAGGCAGGCAGTGAGTGTGGCACACACCCGCTTCCCACCCATCCTCGAGGGCTGCCAGCGGGGGCCTGCAGTGCACAAACTCTTGGGAAGACCCCCATGCTAAACCCCGTCTCCAGCCGCCGGTCCAGGCTTCCCCGTGCCTCCTGCCAGGCCTGGCCTGGACGCGGCTGCGCAAGACTATGTGAGGGGCCCTCGAGGAGCCGCTGGTGTTCAAGGTGCTTCCCGGGGCCCCGTGACCTGAGCTGACGCTCTCACTGGCTCAGCTGGTCCAGAGGGGAACTGGGGGCTCGACTGCAAGGAAGAAATGTGATTTTAAAACCAAAAAAAGCGGGTAGAAGGGATTCAGATGGGCTGGAGAGATAGCACCGGGGTGGAAGCACCTGCTGAGCACAAGGCAGACCCCAGTGAATCCCCAGAACCCCATGGGGATCCCTGAGCACTGCCCTGAGTCAGCCCTGGCACCCCTAGGTTTCACACTCACTCCCCCCAAAAAAAAGTCATGAGAGGAAAAAGAGAACCAACAAAGGGAAAAAAGCAAACAAACAAAAAAAAAAATTGTAAAGAAAAAATATGTAAGAGGGGGAAAAAAAAAACCAAAATAAAACAAACAAACAAAAGACACCAGGAAATTCATCTTCGGCTACTGCTTTGCAAACTATCCTGCATGTTTGGAGTCATTCCCCCAAGCCCCAGCCCAGTGAATCGCTGGGCTTGCATACAAAACAAGGGAAGAAGTCAATTTGTTGTGACAAATGACAGCAGTTTGCAGGTGGTGGGACAGTCAAGCTTTCTCTCCTGTTCTTTCTCGGGGTCGCCAATCCTCACCTCCGTGCTCACGACTATTTCTGACCGTGACCGTCCCCCCGGCCTGCCTCCCTCATGCTCAGCTCATGCTCAGCATCCCGTGGACAGGACTTTTGCAGATCTGAGCTCTGTTCTGATCTTTTTGGGGGGTAGGTGTGGAGGGGTCACTCCTGGCTCTGCACTCAGGAACCACTCCAGGTGGTGCTTGGGGGACCCTATGGGGTGCTGGCGATTGAACGAACCCAGGTCAGCTGCATCAATGCCCTGCCTGCTGTGCTCTGGCTCCGGCCACTCTGCTCTCTTCCCTCAAATTCTCGAGCCACCAATGACAGATCACACCCTCCCCGGGGAAGCAGCGCCACTGACAGTCTCACACCCACTCAGGCTCACTCTCTGGGGACGGTCCAAGGGGCCTGCTTTCACCCTCGTGGGCCAAGCCGGGGAAAGGACCAAGGAAAAGTCCGCTCACTGGTCATTGGCCGCGGCACCACACACCTGGCTCAGCCCTTCCTGTACCTGTTGCCTGCATCACTGCATCTGGCAGGGGTGCAGCCTCCTCAGCTGCGGGCCCCGGGGGTACCAGGTCGATGACGTCCTCTGGCTCCAGGGGGCATGGGGAGCGGTGGGACGCCCCACCATCACAGACTCCCTGCTCCTCCAAGGCCGCCTCCAGGGAGTCGATTGTCTCTTCAAAAAACTGCAGGACATCCAAGACATCCTTCTCCTCATGCGTGAGGTCCCTCGGGCTCTCGTCCTCCTGGGGGTCCAGGGCGGGGAGACAGGAGACAGAACAGGGTGTCAACAAGGAGAAAAGCCCCGAGCCATGCGGGGTTCCTGGCGATCACGAGGGGTCAGGGTGGGACTCACAGGCTGAAATCCCCCCACCGCCCCCCACCCCCCCAGTCTAGGTCCCGGCTGGGAGGGCTAGGTTCAGGCCCAGATGAAGATGCTAAGTCAGACTCTTCCCCATTCGCCCCCTCCACCGCCAGTCGGGGTGAACTTCTTGCCAGATCATCAATATTTGGGACTTTGCTGGTCCTTGGGAAGCAGCGACTCCCCCATCCAGGGAGAGTGAAAGTTACAGTCAATTTGCATCTGACCAGAGCTCAGCCTGCTTTCAATCGAACTTTACTGACACAAACAGTAAAGTTGGGGGGGACCCGACTGGTCCCCAGGCTGCAGCTTCAGCTTTGCGATCCTCCTCGTGACACCACGCCTCCAGCATCTACTGAATCATACATTCAAATATTTGCGCGCCCCGTGCGCTGCAGCCGTGCAAACAGCATCGCAAATGCCCAGCAGAGCAGGAACACGCCTCAGGTGACTCAGCGCTTGGGGCCCGGGCGCCCACAGGGAACACGCTGGGGAGGAGATGCCGGGCAAGTCGGCGGGGAGTCCCTGAGACGGGACTGGGCGCCAGGGCGGCTTGGATGAGACCCTGAGGAGCACAGCCTGTGAGACGGGCGGGTGAGGGTCACCTCTGCAGAGCCAGGGCATGGCGCCGAGGGGAGAGGAGACATGAGGGTCACCTCTGCAGAGCCAGGGCATGGCGCCGAGGGGAGAGGAGACGGGTCTCGGCGTGGAGGAAGCGGGAGCCTTCCTCACTGAGCTCATTCCTGCCCTAGAGGTCTCCTCAGCCTCGCTTGCCACACACTGGACCTCACCCCCAGATCCCTGATGCCCCCCTCACCAGCTTTCCCCTCTTCCCTCCTCTCCCCTCCCCTCCCTTTTCACTTCTCACCTCTCCTACCCTCCTCTCCCTTCCTACCTATCCTCACCTCCCCTCATTTCTCACTTCTCCTCACCTCTCCTCCCCTCCCCTCACCCCTGGGCTGGGACATCACATCTCTTCACAACCAAACACATGCACCCCTTCCAAGCCTCTCTCCCGGAGGCTTTCCTGGGCAGTGTTCGTTCCTGCTTCAGCAGCGGCCCAGCCCCGAGTGATTCTCTCATCCCGCCAGCCCTACAGTCTGACAAATGGCCTCATCTGCCGACTCTCAGCCCCCCACCCCGACAGCTCCCGAAGCCCAGGGTCTACTGGGGAAACAGCAGGCTGGGCTGGGGCGTGTGAGGCCTGGCTTCCACCCTCCCCTCTGCGCCCTCCCCCCCAGCTACTTCTGAGCATGCCGCAGGTGTGGCCCCACAACCAACCACGGTAGAACTCTCCAGAAAACCATGGCTCCCCCTTCCATCTGCCACGCTGGCGTCGGGCACCTCCGGTCCCCAGGGTAACAGGGCTCTGCCTTGGGAACGCAGGAGTTCCGCACGCACCCCTGAGTCTCCCTCTCTGAAGAAGTCACATCTCTCGTATGTCAAGCCAGAAAGCCCAAATGCTGGGTCTGTGTCAGGCCCACGTGGGCTGCCTGTGGCCTCGTGATGTGCATGATGGAGCCACCGAGCACCTCTGGGTGACCTGGAGGGTCAGGCTCAGGCCCAGGGCCAGGAGCACAGAGCTGCAGCGGAGTTTGACAGGGCAGAAACGATGGGGGAAGAAAGAAATACCTTTGGTTGGACAAAGAGTGGAGCAAGCTTTAAACACCCGCCACAGCGCCCCGCCCCTATCAAGCTCTGAAGCGTTTGTTCTTTCCTTTGTGCTGCTTCTGAACAAAGAACTCTGGGCTCACTGCCCCTTTCGGAGGAGAGAAAGGGCCCAGGGGCCTCACCTCGACCGACCACGGCCATGAGGAAGGACCATGATGCGGGGAGTGCCTGAGCCAGCCACGCTCAGCTCCACACTGGCTGGTGTATGTGTGTGTGTGTGTGTGTGTGTGTGTGTGTGTGTGTGAGTGTGTGCGTGAGTGCACATGTGTGTGTGCATGTGTGGGGTGCATGTGCGTGCACGTGAGTGCGTGTGGGGGCGTGAGGGTGCATGCATGTATGAGTAGGTTGTGTGGGTATGGGTGCATGTATGTGTGCACTGGGGGGCTATGCATGAGTGTGGGGGGTGTGCATGTGACGGGAGGCAACTGTGTGTGTGTGTGTGTGTGTGTGTGTGTGTGTGTATACCTGATCGATCCCCTAAGCTGTTCCAGAACCATCCTCCAACGCTGTGGCGGTGATCCTGCTCAGCACACCAGGTTGGAAATCTTTTTGCAAGTAATTGCTTTATTTAAGGGCCACACCTGGCAGTGCTCAGGGCTTACTCCTGGCCCAGTGCTCAGAGATCATTCCTGGCGGTACTTGGGGGGACGGAACCCAGGTTGGCTGCATGCAAGGCAAGCGCCCTCCCTGCTGTGCTGTTGCTCAGGCCCTTCAGGTCATCAGCCTCCATGCTCAGGGCCATCCCCAGAGGCAGCGGTCAGCCCTCGGCCCCCCCCCCCCGCCCCACCCCACGCAGCCCCCTGCTCATCCACTGCAGCCTGCAGCACCCTTACCCCACTTCTGTGGGGACAGACTGCAGTCCCAGCCCCCACCCCCGCCCCACGTGTCCCCTGGAAGCTGAGCCCAGAAATGCACCCTGGGGCCAGGGGTGGTGCCGTTAACACTCAGACTCTGGTCCCCTCCTGTGAGAGCAGGGGCCTCCCTGGGGACTGTATCAGGAGGGCAGGGCCATCCCCGGGCTCACTCCTGAGGGACACGGGGTCTCAGGAGCTCGACTCAAGTTCAACAAGAGAGCGAAACAAAGGGTAAGTACAGAAGTGAGGCCTCCGGGCTCCCTGGAGAGCCCTCGGTGACGCATGGCCTTGATGTCCCCTCACGCAGCCTCTCGGCCATTGTTCCTGAGTCGGCCACTTCACACTTTGGCAGGACCTTCTGTATCAGGGCCACTTCCTGCACCCACCCCCACGGCCCCGAAGCGCCACAGACTCTTCTTGCTTGTTTGTTCAAGGGGCCACGCCCAGTGGGTTCAATCCCAGTGCAGTGTTTAGGGGGGACTCCCAGCAGTGCTCAGGGGACCAGGCGGGGCAGGAAATCAAACCTGGGCCGCCAGAATGCAATGCATGAGGATCCAACCTTCCTGGCCCAGGACTTTACAAGTGAGTCTCGCGGCGGGAATGACTCCATGAAAACGCCGGGAGTTTGTCCTGCGGCCCAAGCCTGGCGAGTGAGGGGCCGCAGAAGCATCGAGGCGAAGTTAGGGACCATCCCTCTAGGGCCAGCGCTGCCCTCGCTCTCCCTGACTATCGCTTCTTTGGCTCCTGGGTTCTGAGAGGCAGCAGCTCCTGCTGTGCCTGGGCCCTGTCTCGGGTCAGGAGGGTCCTGCGTGGCAGCCCCCAGCCTGGCTGCAGAGGGAATGTCTCTTCCCTGCCCCAGAGGGAGAAAAACACTTGATCCAGGGCGGTGAGAACTGCGCTGGCACCTCCCCAAGTGAGGTTCCCAGGACTCGGGCTCGCTCGCTTGCCTGAGTGGAGGGAATAACGGTATTTCTTAAAGGAACAGGTGCAGTGGGCAAAGCCAGCCAGGCCTGGCCACCGGGTGGTGTCCCAGAAACCCAATGTTCCCTCACCAGAGTGAAGCTTCTGGAACGGGAGCTACTGCTGCGGCTCTCCAGGCTTCCCCCTCTGCTCTGGTCGCCGGGAGACAGGTCCGGCTCCATCTCCGACTTCTGCTGGTGGATCGGCATCCCCACGGACACTCGGGTGCTGGCGGGACCTCAGGATGGGGCTTAGCGCCCGGACCCCATTCCTCAGCCCCGGGTCGGCCCTGGAGAAACCGGAGACAGAGCGGCAGGCGTTAGTGAGTACAGGGACACGTCAACATCCCGAAGGGGGCAGATCTGGATGGCGCTCTCCTTCCCAGCTGGCCCCGTCATGAGCAGGTAGGAGCTATTTGTGTGTGTGTGTGTGTGTGTGTGTGTGTGTGTGTTTAAATTGAATCCCTGTGAGATGCAGTTACAAGCTTCCATGTTCGAGTTTCAGTCATACAATGATCTAACACGCATCCCTCCACCAGCGCACATTCCCTACCACCAATGTCCCCAGTATCCCCGCCCCCATCCCACCCCACCCTCTGCCTCCATGGCAGACAATTTCCCTCTTACTCTCTCTCTACTCTTGGGCATTATGGTTTGCAATACAGACACTGAGAGGTTATCACGTTTGGTCCTTTATCTATGTACAGCACATATCTCACATCCTGAACAATCCCTAAAAACATCATTGTCTTGGTGATCTCTTCTCTACCCCAGCTGCCCTTTCCCGCAGCTCATAAGGCAGGCTTCCAACTATGGAGCAGTCTTCCTGGCCCTTGTGTCTACTGTCCTTGGGTGTCAGTCTCATGTCATGTTATTTTTTTTCCTTAAATTTTTATTAGTGAAACACCATGAGGTACGGTTGTAGACTTACAAATTTTTGTGCTTGGGTTTCAGTTATACAATGATTGAATACCCATCCCTCCACTAGTGCCCATTTTCCACCATCATGTCATGTTATTTTATACTCCACAAATGAGTGCAGTCCTTCTGTCTGTCCCTCTCTTTCTGACTCATTCCACTTAGCATGATACTCTTCATGATCATCCACTTATAAGCAAATTTCATGACTTCATCTCTCCGAATAGCTGCATAGTATTCCACTGTGTAGATGTACCAAAGTTTCTTTAACCAGTCATCTGTTCTAGGGCACTCGGGTTGTTTCCAGAGTCTGGCTATTGTGAACAGGGCTGCCATGAACATGCAGGTGCAGATGTCATTTCTGCTGTGCTTTTTTTTGCACCCTCAGGATATATTCCCAGAATTGGTATTGCAGGGTCATATGAAAGCTCAATTTCTAGTTTTTGAAGGACTGTCCATATTGTTTTCCAGAAAGTCAGCTTTCCCACCAACAGTGAAGGAGCGTCCCTTTTGGTAGGAGCTATTTTTAAGGGGGAGGGATAAAATGCAGAGAGCCTGTGAGATGCTGCAGCTCGGTGGAACAATGCATGCCTTGCAAATACCAGGGTCTGCCTGGGTTCCAACCCAACCCAACTCAACTCCCTGACCCCCCCTCAAATAAGGCTGGTGCTGGAAATTTCACGGAAGAACGTTCTGGCACCTTCTCCACAGGCTGAGGGCTCAGCTCACTCACACAGACACAGACGTTCCATATCTGGGTGACTTTCTGCCTCTGAGTCCATGGCTTCTTGTTTGTTTGCTTGTTTGGGGGCCACACCCGGCAGCACTCAGGGATTACTCCTGGCTCAGCACTCAGGAATCACTCCTGGCAGTGCTCAGGGTATCGGAGATCAAACCTGGCAAACACCCTACCGGCCGTACTATCTCTCTGTTCCTGCCCCGGCGTCTTTCGCAGGCCCTCACCATCTAGGGCTGGGGGGAACAATGGCAGCAGGGTACCGGCTCTGGGACTCTGGGCTGGCGGAAGCGCGGACGCTAACGGCATTTCTGTGCTGGATACTAAGGAGCTGTGAGCCCGAGGGTGTCATCAGGAACTCTACCTTCTTCCTTCCAGGAATTGCTGTTTTCATTCATTAACTCGTCCCCGGAGCAAAGACCGCAAATCACCTGCCATGCCCCTGGAGGAGATTCAGCCCAGGCACAATACACAGCTGAATTTGATAGAACCTTCCAGAAGACAAAAGATAAGGAATGGGGAAGGAGGGCTCGGCCGGCCGGTGATGACAGCAAGACCCGGCTCGGTGGCTGAGTCCCGCCCGATAGCCTGAACCGCAGGGCAGAGCATGTGGGCGGCAGGTCCACTGATCTGCAGATGTGGACGCTTCTCACACAGAAGCGCAACCATTCGCGATGACTCTAATAGGGAGGGCCTTGTCATCTCAGATGTCAGAAATTACTCAGAGAAGCTCCTCAGAGGAACCCTGACAGATCAGAGCAGGAACTACCCCTCCCTGCATCTGCCTTTCTTTCTCCGAGGAATCATTTGATGTCAAAGTCACGTAACAGCAAGCAAGACGGGGAACCAGAATATTCAGCACATACACATATATTTGGTAACATGATTTGGTAACAAAAAATATATATTTTTTGATGTGTGTATGGGGGGGGGGGAGTCACACCCAGTGATGCACAAGGGTTCGTCCTGGCTCTGCACTTAGGAATTACTCCTGGCGGTGCTCAGGGGACCCTATGGGATGCCAGCGATTGAACCCCAGTTGGCTGCGTGCAGGGCAAACGCCCTCCCAGCTGTCCTATCGCTCTAGTCCCTATTCCAAATGGTTTTTAAAAATTGAAAAAAAACAAAACAAAACAAATAAAGTTAGGGGCTGGAGTGATAGCACAGCGAGTAGGACATTTGCCTTGCACCGGGTCGACCCGGGTTTGATTCCCAGCATCCCTTCTGGTCCCCCGAGCACTGCCAGGAATAATTCCTGAGTGCAGAGCCAGGAATAACCCCTGTGCACCACTGGGTGTGACCCAAAAAGAAAAAAGAAAAAAAAAAAGTTAAATGTTGAAGGTTTAAAATTGGAAAGCCGGGATGGAGAGATAGGACAGTGACTAGGGACTGTAAGCTGCTGACCTGGACTCAATCCCTGGCACCGTGTATGGTTTCCTGCACCCGACCAGGAGTGAGTGACTGAGCTCAGAGCCAGGTATAAGCCCTGAGCAGCACCAGGTGTTGCCCCAAAACAAAAGTGGAAATTTGGGACACTGAGGATGTGACTCAGAGGTGAGACATGTGTATCCCATGCATAAGGTCTTAGGTTTGACGCCCCCCCCCCCCCAGAAATGGGCAGGAAAGTGAGGGGAGGTTGTTTTTATTTTGTAGGATACCTCCCCCCGTTGGTACCCTGAGGGTCACAGGCACTGGAGGTGAGCTGCTGCGGGCAGGGCCGCTGGACTTGGCATGGCTTGGATGCCCTTTGGCCTCACTGCCTGCCTGCCCTGAGCACTAAGGCATCTGAGGGCAGGGCTGGGCGGGCAGTGTGGCTTAGTGTCAAGAGACCGCCTTCCTTGGCCACGGAGGACTCAGGTTCAGTCCCCAGCAGCACATCTGAGGCCCTCCAGGAGTGAGCCCTGAGCACCGCCAGGTGTGGCCCCCGCTGACCCCCACCAAAATACAGAGGTTTTATATCAACTACAGAATCGATAATAAAAACTACCTGCCAACAACTCCCAAGCTTAGATTAGCACAGAGACTCTCTACGGGATCGTCTAAGGAATCGGCGGTAGATGTGACAACAGCATTTGCCCACACAACACGTAAGCACAGAGACCTGCATACACCTTCACCTCTCCCACATGTGCAGAGATATCACACATGCCGCCAAGCAGCACACCGATGGGACATACACACGCTCGCATGGAGGGCACACCAAGCACTGCTGTCCAGCCGGATGAAGGCGTCCACTGCTGTCCCGGGCACTGAGCGATGGTGGTGGGTTGGGCAGGATGACAGAGTAGCCAGGTTGACCCCTGAACCTCCCTGCTCCCCATTCCCCCCAAGCACTCTGCATGAGTCCCGTCCCCAGGAGAGGAGGGACAGACGGCCTCACTCCCTCACTCTGCAGGGCAGAGACCCAGGGGAGAGCTGGGCTGTGGGAAAGGACGGGGACAGTGCTCCTGGCTGCGGCCCTTGCTGTGGTGGACACTAGGCAGAGGAGCTTCCTGCATTGCTGCCCCCCAAACCTTTCTGCGTTAGACCTGCAGATGGCGCTGCTGAAGGTCTGGGGGGGGGGGCTCATGCAGTCCTGCAGAGGGGCCCAAGGGGGTCCCCCTGTACGGGCTCAGCATGGTGGTTTCTCTCCTCTCTTAAGGAATCGGGGTCTACTCAGATGGGCCCCAGAGCACCCCGCAGGAGGTGCCCTGGGGAAAGAGCCCAGTCTTGGGGAGAAGGCCAGGAAGTGGGTCCTGGGAGTGGGGGGGGGCAGGAAGGGGGTCCTGGGGGTGTGGGGGCACGGGGGAGGAGAGTTCGTCTCACTGCAGCAATGGAAATATGGACATGAATTGCAAATTTCTCTTGCTTAATCTGTAACTTGACCTAAAAAAGTTCTTTCTTATATTGTTGAATGTATCCACGTTTGTTGTTTATGTCTTAGGGGTTTTGCAAACTTAGGCCTTTCCTAGCCTAAGAAGACACAGCAGTTACCTCCCACATTTTCTACTTGGCTTTTCTCTGGCTTCACGGTTTATCATGAAGTAGCTGACCCAACTGGAACTTTCGTTAGTGTCCAGCAGTGACCCCACTCACCCACCGGCCAGCAGGGAGCCCCAGCTGCTCCAAGATGCAAAAAAAAAAATGCGTCTTTCCACTGTCTTCAACTCCTGAGTGTATTTACCTGCTAACTGTGTCTGTCTCTCAGGTTCTGAACATCATCCTGTTCTGCCCCGTGAAGCTTTCTGACATACTTGTCCTGACTGCAAGCATTTCAACCACGCGGTGAAAGTTCCCGTGATTACGCTGTACAAAAATGACAGCCACCAGGGTTACATTCATGGACCAGTGGCGAGCAGAGAGAAGACATCCCCCAACCATGAGAGGCAAGCAAAATGCTTCTCTTCCTCAGAGCTCAGTGCCGGGCAGGCGTGACGCCCTGGGCGGATCCCTGTCGCCACTCTAAAATAAAACACAAACTCTTATAAATCAACAGGGACAGGAATAAGGCAGGAAACTTATCAGAAAACGAAAAAGGAATATCAGCGAGCGGTTCACAAGTGAGGAAACCCACATGACTCAGGAGTATGTGTGAGAAGATCAGCCTCGTCAGTGGGCAAAAACGGACAAGCATGGGCCGGAGCTTTAGGACAGTGG